AGGCTATGCTCAATTCATTCATTCAATCAATAATATTTCTTGAGTACCTAATATATGACAGCTATTACTCACGGTGCTTGAAATCCAATAATGAGCAAAAATGCCTGTCTTCATGAAGTTAGCATTCTAGTTGGGGGACACAAACAAACAAACAATAAATACCTGTGACATCATTTGGTGATAAATACTCTGGAAAAGAAATAAAGATGAAAAGGATGGAGTTAAGGGCTGGCACTATTTTTGATGAGGAAAAACCTCTTTGATTGGGTAAGATTTGAGCAGAAATCTTAAAAAATGAGTTAACCATGAGGATATTAGGGAAAGAAAGTTTCAGAGAGAATAGCAAGTGCAGAGGCCCTGTGCTAGGCTCAGTCACAGAATTACGAAGAAGCCAATGTGGTTGGAGTAGAGTGCACAAGAAGAAACGTAATGGAAGACAGTTTCTAAGAGGTAATAGGGGAGGTGACAACAGATATTTTACAGTGCTAAAGGCTATTGTAAGACCTTTGGCATTTCCCTTACTGACACAGTCATAGGAGAGTTTTGAGCAGAGGAGAGACATGATCTGACTTTGCTTTTCTTAAGCTCCCTCTGGCAGAAGTGTGAAGAACAGACTGTGGAGAGGAGAGCAGGAGAAGGGAAACAGCAAGGAGGCTGTTGTGATAGTTCAGGCCCAGGGTAGGAATTGCACAGGGGACAGAAGTGGGCAAGGTTCTCTTTTGAAGTTCCGAGCTGACAAGTTCTGATGCATGTTAAGAGAGGAAAGAGAAGGGCCAAGGGTGACTCACAGACATCCAGTAGAGATACTGAGTTGGCAGTTGGATGTTGTTGTTGTTGTTGTTAGGTGCCATGGAGTTCGAACCGACCCATAGTGTCCTTATGCACAACAGAATGAAACACTGCCCAATCCTGGGCCAACCGCACTACTGTTGCCACACTTGAGTCCATCTATGCTGCCACTTGGCCAATCCATCTCACTGGGGGGTCTTCCTCTTTTTCTCTGACCCTCCACCTTACCAAACATGATATCATTCTCCAGCGACTGCTCCCTCCTGACTATATATCCGAAGAATGAGAGACGAAGTTTGGCCATCTTGGCCTCCAGGGAGCATTCTGACTGCACTTCTTCCAGAACAGATCTATTGGTTCTTTTGGCAGCCCATGACACTTTCAATATTCTCCTCCAACACCACAACTCAAAAGCATCACTTCTTCTACGGTCTTTCTTATTCACTGACCAGCTTTCGCATGCATATGAGGTTATTGAAAATACCATGGCTTGGGTCAGGCGCACCTTAGTCCTCAAGCTGACATCTTTGCTCTTCAACACTTGAAAAAGGTCTTGTGCAGCAGATTTGCCTAATGCAATACACTATTTGATTTCTTAACTGCTGCTTCCATGAGTGTTGATAGTTGATCCAAGAAGAATGAAGTCCTTGACAACTTCAACCTTTTCTCCATTGATAAGAATGTTGTTTATTGGTTCAGTGGTGAGGATTTTTGTTTTCTTGACATTGAGATGTAATCCATACCAAAGGCTGTGCTCTTTGATCTTCATCAATAAATGGTTTTAAGTCCTCTTCATTTTCAGCAAGCAAGGTTGTATCATCTGCATATGGATGTAAGAGCCTAAAATTCAGGGAGAGGTCCTGAATGGAGAAATAATTTAGGCATCCTCATTGAAAGCCAAGAGATATGGTAAAAACAAGAAGTAAGTTAGATGGACAAGAGTAGGTGAGCAAGGTCCAAGCCCTGGGACTCTCCAACATTAGAAGGAATCAGCAAGAGACTGAGAAGGAGGAGGAGGAAGGACACCAGGCTAGGGTGGTGTACTGAAAGCCAAGTGAAGACAGAGTTGCAAGGAGCAGGAGAGTGATCTATTGTGACGAGAACTGACAACCAGCACCCTGGAGGTCACTGATGGCATTTTAGTAGAGGACAGAGGAAGTGCAAACCTAATTGACGAGGGTTTAAGAGAAAATTATGAGGAAAACTAACAGGCAGCAACTGTAGATGACTATTTGGAGGAAGTAGGAAGCTGAAAAGGGAAGGAAATGAATGAAGGGGGCAATGACTGGATAGGAGACAGGGTTTTTCATTTCCAAGATGGGACATATAACACCATGTGTAGGCTGAGGGGATAGATGCCATTGTTGCTCAGTTTGTTCACATGGAGTTGGTTCTGACTCACAGAGACTACCACCTCCTCACAATTGTTTATTTGAACCCATTGTTAGCAGCCACTGTGTCCCTCCATCTCTTTGAGGGTCTTCCTCTTTTTTGCTGACCTTTTACTTGACCAAGCATGATGTCCTTGTGAGTACCTTCCAACCTAAGAGGTTCATCTTCTGACACTATATCGGACAATGTTCCGCTGCTATTCCTAAAGGTTTCAGTGGCTACTTTTCCAGAAGTGGACCACCTCTTCCTTCTTTCTAGTCTGGAAGTTTCGCTGACACCTGTCTACCACTCGTGACCCTACTGGCATTTGAAACACCGGTGGCCTAGATCCAGAATCACAGTAACAGTTGTTGTTGTTGTTAAGTGCCATTGAGTTGGTTCTGACTCATAGTGACCCTGTATAGAGTTTCTGAGGAGCAGCTTGTGGATTTGAATTACTGATATTATGGTGCGCAGTCCAGTGCTGATCCTACAATGCCACACCAGGAGTCCCACAGCAATAGTGTTGTTGTTGTTGTTAAGTGCCATCTAGCAACCCTGTATAGGGTTTCTGAGGAGTGGCTGGTGAGCTTGAACTACCGACCCAGATCCCAGAGATCTGGAAGTTGATGGAAGAGGAGGAAAGAGAATAGCTGTAGTAATGCCTATGGGTAAGTGTGTGTGTGTGGGTGGGTGGGGGGTGTCAAAGGGGGCAAGGGGAGGATCCAGTGCTGCTACCTATGTCTGTTCTTATGGGGGGAAGTCAGCACAGCCGGCAGCAGACAAGAAACGCTGATCTGAGACTCTGTGAAAATGCTCTTTTGTTTGCTTCTGTTTACTCCATGAAGTACACACGGCTTTCTTGTATTCTTATACATCGCTTCCCCCTGAGTTCTCCTTCATATGGCAGCTAGGACATTATATTGATTTCTTGGAATTTATGTGTGTAGGTAGGTGATAGTGTCTAGGAATTTCACTTCTGGATTTGGAAAGAGTATTTACTAAGAAGACAAAATATTCTTAGTAAAAAGCAGGTGGTACTGATCTGACGGACTTGAACATTGCTGCTATTGGTTCTCCTAGACCATTGTAACGTCACTGAGGTTGAATAATGTCAGGGGAAAAAAATCACTACTACCTAGGTGACCTCTTCTGCGGTCTCCATTTTCCTGTCAATACAATGAGCGGCAGTCCAACTAGCAAAAACTTCTAAGCTCCCTTTTCAGCTCTGTTGCTGTTGAGTTGAGTTGATTTCCAACTCCTGAAGACCCCCATGTGTTATATAATAGAATTGCTCCATAGCGTTTCATTGTCTGCAATCTTTATGGAAACAGAGAGCCAGGTCTTTCTTACTGGGCGCCGCTGGCTGGCGCTTGAACCACCACTCAGCAGTTAGGAGGCACACAAAGGTTAGTAATTGGGCACCAACGATTTGCACCACCCAAGGATCCTGATTGGAGTCCTGGTGTGGTGCTATGGGTTAATGTACTGGACTGCAAAGTCTGTTTGAACCACCAGGTTTGTGGTTCAAGCTCACTAGCTACTCCTTGGAAACCCTATACAGGGTTGCTATGGGTTGGAACTGACTCGATGGCACCTAACAGCAATGTTGGAAGAAAGACCTGGAGATCTGGTTCCAAAGGGTCATAAGATGGAAAATTCTATCAGTTCTGTGCTGCACAGATGGGTCACCATGAGTCAGAATGAGTGTTTCAAAAATTAATAACAGTAACAACAGGACTCAAATATTCCAGATGGGGAGTAAATCCAGGAAGGCCTTTTGGAGGAGGAGAATAAGAGAGCTCATTATATTTACTACTTATTGGGAACAAGAGCCCCGGTAATAAGTGATTAAAGGGCTCTGGCTGCTTAAAGGACTGCTCACTGAAAGGTCTGCGGTTTGAACCCACTAGCCGTTCCGCGGGAGAATAATGCAGTCTGCTTCCATAAAGATTTACAGCCTTGGAGAAGCTATGGGTGAATTCAATTCTATTCTATTGGGTAGCTGTGAGTTGGAATTTGACTAGATAGCAATGGATTTACTTTTATTTTATTTATTGGGAAGGATACTTGGTGGTGTAATGGTTAACTGCTTGACTACTAACAGAAAGGTCAGTAGTTCAAACCCACCCAGTGGCTCTGAGGGAGAACTGACTTGGTGAGTCGCTCCTGTAAAGATTGTTGTTAAAGTGCTGTTGAGTGGGTTCTGACTCATAGCAACCCTGTATAGGGTTTCTGAGGAGTGACTGATGGGTTTGAACTGCCAACCTTGCCGTACAAACTGACTTTGTGGTCCAGTGCTTATCCTACAGCAGCACTGTGCCAGGACTCCCTATAAGGATTATAGTCTAGGACGCCCTAGGGAGCAGTTCTGGTCTGTTATGTAGGGACACTCTGAGTTGGAATTACTCCACAGCATACAACAATTAATTGGGAGTCCTTGGATGGTGCTAACCAAAAGGTTGGAAGTTCAAGCTCACCAGAGGCACTGCAGAAGAAAGGCCTGGTGATCTACTTCTGAAAAATCAGCCACTGAGAACCTGATGGACGCGGTTCTCCTCTGACACTCATGAGGTCTCTATAAGCGAGAATCAACTTGACAGCCGCTGGCCAGTGTTTCTTAACTACACCATGCCAGGAGATATATGATGCCGGTTGATTCTTACAATAATCCCAAATCAGAGGAATGAAGTTACTTCTCCAGGGTCACACAGCAGGCAGCATTTGAACCCTGGGCTCAGTGATGTAAAGCCTGGGAGGTCCTGGCAGACAAGGGGAAGGAAGGAGGGGAGGAGCCCTCTGTGACAGTTGTCCCAGAATGGGTATAAACAGGATGTGGTGTTGGATGAAACCTTCCTCTACTACTCTACACCCCCGCCCCCCCACAGCCCTGGTCCCCACCCCTAGAAGAAGGCGGAACTGAGAGAAGAAGAGACTTTCGGACAGAAGAGCCATGGTCAGAGGGTCAGGGGTCTTATGGGAAGGGCTGGGGATGGGGGCTGGGCAGACCCATGGGTGAAGACCAGCTTGAGATACTGGAAGTCAGGAGCTGGGGACAGGACTCAACTATGGCAAAGGGCCGGGCTGGGGCAAGAGAGGTAGTAGTTCCGGGTTCAGATCTGGGGTCTCCTTGACAATTGCCCAAGGGTGCCATCTCAGGGAGCCAGTTGAGGCTGAGAACTAGCCTTCACATCGCTCCCTAAGCTGGGTGTCCTGGTGAGGGGCACCTTTTCTTAATTTGCACGAATGGGTCCTATGGGCTAGCAAGGCCCTTTCCTTCATTAGTGAATGGAGACCCTGAGGTGTGGGGGAGGGGCGGGGACAGAGGCCAGCTCTGCTCTGACTGGACCCCTCTGGCAGTCTGACTCTCTGGTGGTGTGCGAGGTGGACCCAGAGCTAAAGGAAAAGCTGAGGAAATTCCGCTTCCGAAAAGAGACAGACAACGCAGCCATAATAAGTAAGTGAGTGAGTTCTTCCTCCACCGAAAGATGGGAAGAGGTGGGGACAAATGGGGAGAGCTGCTTGAGTCTAACCCTTGTGTGTCACGCCTCCCCAGTGAAGGTGGACAAGGACCGACAGATGGTGGTGCTGGAGGAAGAATTCCAGGTGAATGGGGCCCCCAAGAGTTCTAGGGACTGGGAGACCCACAAGGCTGGAACTGCTCAGGCTGTTGGAGTCAGAAACACCTGGAAGTCAAGTTCAAGCTCAGCTGAGACCTTAGGCAAGAGGCGTTGCCTGTCTGGGTCTCTGTTTCCTTACCTGTAAAATGGGGTAATAATAGTACCGATCTGGGGAAGGACATCATACTTGGGAAAGTGGAGGGTCAGTGAAAAACAGGAAGACATCCATGAGATGAGTTTGCCACAGTGGCAACAACTATGGGTTCAAACAGAACAATTGTGAGGATGGTTCTGGACCAGAGAGTGTTTCATTCTGTTGTGCATAGATAGGGTTGCTATGAGTCGGAACTGACTCGCTGGCACCTAACAACAACAACAACAACAACAGAGGCCTGCTTAGGGATTCTTTTTAGTGGGTAAAGAACCGGGCCTGGCGTATAGCTCAATAAAGAGATGATAATGAGAATTCTTATAGCAGTAATTAATTGGCACTTACATGAGCTTCCAGATAAGTTAAAAAAAGCTATCAGAAACTCTTTATCAAAGGGCGCCCATCTGCTGGCCCCAATGTCTTTATCAGTAACATGGGTTTGATAATAAGGCTTACTTTATAGTATTGCATTAAGGTTTTGCAGGGGCCTAAAGGAGCTCTAAGGAACTCTGGTAGCATAGTGGTTACGAATCGGGCTGCGAACCACAAGGTCAGCAGTTCGAAACTACCAGCTGTTCCACGGGAGAAAAATGAGGCTTTCTGCTCCCGTAAAGATTTACAGCCTTGGAAACCCTGTACAGGGTCGCTATGAGTCTGAACCGACTCTACAATACTTAACAACACCAAAGGAACTCTGGTGTGGCGCTGTGGGCTAATGCGTCAGACTGCCAAGTAGTTTGAACCACAGGGTCCGTGGTTCAAGCTCACCAGCTGCTCCTTGGAAACGATAAGCAGGGTCGCTATGGGTCAGAGTTGCCGCGATGGCACTTAACAATTAACAACAACAACAAAGGAGCTCTGGTAGCGTAGTGGTTATGAATTGGGTTGCTAATCTCAAGGTTGGCAGTTTGAAACTACCAGCGGTTCCGTGGGAGAAAGATGAGGCTTTCTGCTCCCGTAAAGATTTACAGCCTTGGAAACCCTGTGCAGGGTCGCTATGAGTCGGAACCGACTCCACGGTACTTAACAACAACAACAAATGGAGTTAATGCTCTGGACTGCAAAGTCATTTGAACTAGAAGGTCGACAGTTTAAGCTCACCAACTGCTCCTCAGAAACCCTATATAGGGTCGCTATGGGTCAGAACTGAGTTGATGACACTTAGCAACAACAACACTGGAGGCTGCGGGAACTCTGTAAGATAAGCACTGGACTGTGTACCACAAGTTCAGTGGTTCGAGTCCATCAGCTCCTCCGTGGGAGAAAGATGAGGCTTTCTGCTCCCACAAAGATTTACAGCCTCGGAAACCCTATTGGTTGGTTGTTTATGTGCCATGAAGGTTCTGACTCATAGCAACCTGTATACTGTATACTTTCTGAGGCTGTAAATCTATACGGGAACAGAAAGCCTCATCTTTCTCCTGTGGAACAGCTGGTAGTTTCGAACTGCTGACCTTGAAGTTAGCAGCCCGATTCGCAGCCACTATGCTACCAGAGCTCTTTTGGAAACCCTATACAGGGTTGCTGTGAGTCTGGACCGATTCATCGGCAGCTAACAAAATAACAACATAGAGGCTGGGGCTATTTGAAAGGAAATGGGGATTGGTTAGAAGTGGGGACTCCTTCATCCTTTTAGAGAAAGTGTAGTGAAATGGTTACAATTTGAAACCAGATCCATATCTGAATTCTGCTGCTCGCTATCTGTGCAACATCTGGGCAAGTCCCTTAACACCACTGGGCCTCAGTTTTCTTATCTGTCAAATGGGGTTAATAGTAGACCTTCTCCCACAGGGTTATGGGAAAGCTCAATGGCTTAGGCCACATGTGTTTCTGAGAGCTCTGCCTAGTTGTTGTTGTATACAGTAAGTGCACATTTAATGACAGTTATTACTTTTCTTCACTCCTGCTTCTTGCCTCAGAACATTTCCCCAGAGGAGCTGAAAATGGAGTTGCCGGAGAGACAGCCCAGGTACTCAGGGGAAGGTCAGGGCTTGGGAAGCGGGGTAGGGATGGAGATAACGACTATGGAACTGTTTGGGTTCTGTTGTTGTTGTTAAGTGCCATCAAGTCGGTTCCGACTTGGAGTGACCCTGTACAGGGTTTCCAAGAGCAGTTGGTGGATTGGGTTTGAACTGCTGACCTTGTGGTTCACAATAGGGTGCTGATCCTACAGCTCCACACGAGGCTCTAGCGAGTCATATTTATGGGCTTAGGCTCTTTATGCTTGAGGCCAAGGGAATTTCTTGTCTGTTTGCTAATATTTTATTGCAGATTTTTACACTGATAACCCTGGAGTCCTGATGTGGTGCTGTAGGATAAACACTAGACCATATGGTTGGTTTGAACCACAAGGTCAGCAGTTCAAATTCACCAGCACTCCTTAGGAATCCTATACAGGGTTGCAATGAGTCTGAACCAACTCGAATGCATTTAACAACAAACAAATAACACCCTGGTAGCATAGTGGATTATTACACGGACTGGTAACCACAAGGTCAGCAGTTTGAATCTACCAGTCTCTCCGTGGGAGAAAGATGAGGCTTTCTGCTCCCACAAAGATTTTCAGCCTCAGAAAACTAGGGTCACTATGAGTTGGAACTGGTTTGGAGGCACTCAACCACCAACCATTCATATATGATATTGGCTTATAGTTTGCTTTTTTTAAAATAAATTTTGGCAGGCTTTGGTTTTAACATTACCCTTGCTTCATTAAAAAAGAAGGTTTTCCTTTTTTTCAGTGCTCTGGAAAACTTTAGGAATATATTGGCATCCTTTGACCTTTAAACATTAGGTAGAATCTTCTGTGAAGTCACAAGAGCCTGGTTCTTTTTGGTTTTGTTGGGAAATTCTTTGGCCCCATTCTTCTATGAAAATGGGTCTTTTTTTATTTCCATCTTGACTGGCATCAATTTTGGGTACCCTGTGGTTTTGAAAGGAGCCCTGGTGGTGAAATGGTTAAGAGTTCAGCGGTTAACCGAAAGGTTGGTGGAACCCACCAGTGGCTCCATGGGAGAAAAGACCAGGCGATCTGGATCTGCTCCTATGGAAATTAAGCCCTATGGGAACAGTTCTACTACATCCTATAGTGTTGTTATGAGTTGAAATTGACTCTACAACACACAGCAACAAAAACAGGCTTTTGAGGAGTCAGGGGTGGGTGGGGAGGGTGCGAATGGTTAATATACTCAGTTGCTGACCAAAAGGTTAGAAGTTTGAGTCTGTCCAGAGGTGCCGCAGAAGAAAGTCCTGGCAATCTCCTTCTGAAAAATCAGCCATTGAAAACTCCATGGAGCACAGTTCAACTCTGACACACATGGGGTCGCCATGAGTCAGAACCAACTGATGTCTTTTTACTGGAGGGTTGTTAGTCACAATCACAGGTTCTAGGTGAACAGCATCTGCCTGGCAGCTTGGGAACACCCTAAGCATGTCTTAGGAGCACTTTCTCCACGTTCAACAGGGAACCAATTTGTGCCAGGCTGGGAGCCCCTGGGGAGGGCATCCTGGGCTGGCCAGCTGGAGCCTGCAGCGCAGTTCCTCAAACCTGCCCAGACCCCCTAGAACTGCCTTTGGGCCTCCCGGGCCAGAGCCAGTTTTGTGGATGGTGACCAGTGTAGTAGCCCAGAACCTCACATTCAGGGCCCTTGCACTTGGGGGCTCTCCAGCTGCTTTCTTGAATCTTTGAATTAATGTTTTGCACGTGAAGGCCGATGGGACAATGGAGCATGTGCTAGGGGCTTGGAGCCTCATCTCATGAGGTTCCAGTCACATGTTCTCTGCACCACCCAGTGACCATGACGGACTTCCCTGGGTAGTTGGGGTCAGCATGCACCCCTGCATGGTAGGCTGCAAGATACAAAACTCTACAGTGCAAGAAGCAGGCTTATTTGTAACCATGGCAATGAGACGATATACGATATACGATAGAATGAATGTAAAACTAATGTTCTCCCATGTAAACTATCACATAATTCACAATAAAACATTAAAAAAAAAAAAAAAAAAAAAGAAGCAGGCTTATGAGAGTCTGTACTCACGACCCAGGGAGTTTAATGTTTAATTTAACATCAAAGAGCAAATTAAAAATGCTACGACAAGGCTAAGGAACCCTGGTGACACAGTGGGTTAAGTGCCAAGCTGCTAACTAAAAAGTCGGCAGTTCAAACCCACCAGCTGTCTGCTTCAGTCACAATGCACAGCCTCAGAAAAGTTGCCAGGAGTGAGAATTCACATGACGCCTGTGGAAGGGTTAATGACACAAGTCCAGAGAGGCTGTTGTGCTTGAAAAGGGAAATACGTGTTTTTTCCTATTTTTTTGGAAAAAGGACCCCATGTTTTCATTTTGTGTGGGGGCCCAGCAAACTAGTTCTGCTCCTAGTCCCCATTACAGAGTGCTGGGCAGTGTTGCACAGAGGTTGAGTGTTCATACTCTGGAGTTGAATTTCTCTGGGCTCAAATCTTTTCTCTCTCCATCCCGTAAACCTTGGCAAGTGACGTTGTCTCTCTGAGCTTCAGTTTTCCCATCTATAGGGCTGGGGTGATCCTGATGTGGTTAAGTGCCGTTGAGTAGATTCTGACTCAGAGTGACCCCTATATAGGATTTCTGAGGAGTGGCTGGTGGGTTTGAACTACTGACCTTGAGGTTAGCAGTCTAGTGCCTAACCTTACGGTGCCATGCCAGGACCCCTACTTTATAGAGTTTTTGTTTTTCTTTTTGAGAATCCAATAAGTATTTACTATGATTTAAAAAAATCATTTGTTGTGTCTAAGGCTGGTACCCTGGGTTAACCCTAAATTCTCAGATACAGTCAAGATTTCTAGGTTATAAATCGATGCCTTTGAGTTATGGTGTTGGAGGAGAATATTGAAAGCTGCCAAAAGAACCAATAGATCTGTTTTGGAAGAAGTGCAGTCAGAGTGCTCCTTGGAGGCCAGGATGGCCAAACTTGGTCTCTCATACTTTGGACATATTGTCAGGAGGGACCAGATGCTGGAGAAGGATATCATGTTTGGTAAGGTGGAGGGTCAGAGAAAAAGAGGAAGACTCCCAACGAGATGGATTGGCCAAGTGGCAGTATCGATGGACTCAAGCGTGGCAACAGTAGTGAGGTTAGCCCAGGATTGGGCAGTGTTGCGTTCTGCTGTGCATAAGGTTGCTATGGGTCGGTACCGACTCGATGGCACCTAACAACAACAACAATGTTGGGTCATGTGCATTTGGGCTTGGGCTCCAGGTCAAAATCCTGAATTTGACTTCTCTTTCATTGGTCTAGATTCGTGGTTTACAGCTACAAGTATGTGCATGGAGATGGCCGAGTGTCCTACCCTTTGTGTTTCATCTTCTCCAGCCCTGTGGGTGAGACACAGCTCCGTTCCTCCGGAGATTCTGGATGTGTGTGTGTGTGTGTGTGTGTGTGTGTGAGGTGTGAATGAGGGTGTATGGTGACTGTATACACGACTCTAGAGGAGAATGTGACTGTGTGTGCATATATGTTTGAATGTGTACAGGTGCTGGTATGAATGTGTGTGTGTGAATGTGTGTAGTCATTTGTTAGAATGTGTGTTAAGGTGTATGTAGGTACTCTGGAAGAGTGTGGGTAAGGATGATTGCATGAGAGTGTGGGTCTGTGTGTGTGAATATGTGTAGCGATGACTGCAGTGTGGCAGGTGTGTAAGTACCAGAGTGTATTTGAATGTGTGGAATATGTGGTGTGTACAAATGTGTGAGGTATTTAACAACAACAACAACATAAGTGTATGTGAGGCTGTGGTGTGTGTTGGGAGGGCAGTGGTGCAGGGGAGGGGGCTCAGATTTATCACAGAGCCCACCAATCCTCAGTTCTCCCTTTTATCTATAAATCCATCTCTGGCCCTTAAATTGGTTCTAGGGACCCTTGGAATAATTTTGAGGCCCCCAAACAAGCCTAGAACCTCTGGACTTAGCCTCCTGGGATCCTTAGAAAACTCCCAGGCTTGCATGCAGCATTTTCCCGAGCCCTAGAAAACACTTCAAGGCTCCCATATGCCTTTTTGTCTTTGCAGGCTGCAAGCCCGAACAGCAGATGATGTATGCAGGGAGTAAAAACAGACTGGTGCAGACAGCGGAACTCACTAAGGTCCGGAGTCCTAGGGAGGAGGGGGCTGGAGGGCTGGACTCCTGAATCTGAGAAAGGATGGGGCATGGGTCCTCATTGTCTCTGTTCCTGGGTCCGTCGTGATGCTGAGACCTCTTCCTGACCAGGTGTTTGAAATCCGTACCACCGAGGACCTCACAGAGACCTGGCTTAAAGAGAAGTTGTCTTTCTTTCGTTGACCTCTGGACTGGGAACCTGGATTCCTGATACCAGAGTCCCTAAGAGAATTGTGGACTCAGATCTCTGCACATGTAAAATTCTAAAGAAATTAAACATGCAAGAACTGAGATCGGTTGTTTCTCCCCCTTCATTTTGGGCTCTAGCCGACAGTCCCTGCAGTACCCGCTGAACACCAGCAGAGGGCGAGCAGGCCTAGAGGAACTGCAAGTTGAGTCCCCCGAGGAAAGGCGCACACCAGCTTTACTGACGGGAAGTAGGGGCGAGAGGCATTTTTAGGGGGACAGGGGAGCCTGGGTCATTTGGAAGAATATCTGAATCCATGAACAGGTCATCCCCAAGGAAACAAGGACACCCAGGTTCCTCTGAGAGCCTGGTTCCTCTTTCCCTCCTGTTCCTTTCTCTCCTCAGCTGAGGCCAGCAGGCATTTGCTTGCTTTCCGTACTATTTTTCTCAGCGGAGCCCTGGGGCGGGAAGAATTTGAAAGCAGAAAAGTTGTTGAAAGATCAAACATTTAATTGCTTCAGGGGCTCAGGAGTTGCTGGGGCTGGAGGGTCCAGGGATGGGAAAGAAGAAGAGGACCCTCATTGGATCTTTGGAGAGGTCTGAGGTTGAGGAGATAGAGAAGGAACATCCTACCTGCCCTCATCCCCCCTTTGAGGTCCTCCTTCCTTTTCTTCTGGCATCTCTGGTAATTTGACTCAGGCTTTCTGTCTGTGTCTCTAAGTGACATTTATTGAGCGCCTACAGTGTACCGCGTAGGCTCTGAGAATTCTGAGGTGCCACCGAGATGAATTACACATTCTCTTTTTCATCCATTCTCGGCTTCTCTTCCTGGTCTCTGTTTGTTTCTTTCTCTGTCCCCAGAATCAGGGCCCTGAGAAATTTCCCTCTCCCCTCCCCCTTTCCAGGTTCCCTGTAGCGAGGTGGCAGTTGCCATAGTAACAATGACACAGTGACCTTGGGCCTGGGCTACCCCACCCCCAGCCCTCTCCGTCCTGGGGAAAGGCACCTAGGCCCAACTCCAACCCTACCCACTCCCTTCCAGCCATGAGACATTTTCCCATCCTGCCCCATCCCTTGTCCCCTTGTCCCCAATCGGGGCAAGCCCTCTACATGAGGGGTTCAGGACAGACCCATTCTATACTGAGCTGTAGAGAAATCCCCCCTCTCTTATATGAAGCTGTTGTTATTAAGTGCTGTTGAGTCGGTTCTGACCCATAGTGACCCTGTATAGGATTTCTAAGAAGCAACTGGTGAGCTCGAACTGCCGACCTTGCAGTTCAAACCGACCTTGCAGTCCAGCGCATTAACCCACAGGGTCACACCAGAAGTCCTTGTCTTTCTCATCCATGTCTCTGTCAAGAGATGTCTCTCTGTGTTTTCTTCTGATCTCAGTCCTAGTACCTGATGACTAGCAATGGGAGAGGAGGAGAGCTGAGGCTAGAAGGAAGAGGCCATTCAATTCATAAGCCAAGGAGTGCCTGAGGAGGTTAGAAAAAGAAAGAGATTTGTTCAAGGTCATGCACTTACATAATCATGCGAATAATGATCACTAACTTTCCTACTGAGGGCTTCCTATGCGCTAGGTACTGTTATAAGGATGGTACAGACATTAACTCATCTAATCTTGGCAATATCCCCATGAAGAAGGCACTGTTATCCCTATTTTACTTTGAGGAAATTGAGGCACAGAAGCCCAAAAAAGTGCTTGCCCGGTGTCTCTTAGCTAGTAGTCCACATAATCAGATCCCAAACCCAGGGCTCTTTTGTGGTCACTCTCTCTCGCTGTTAAGCGCCGTCAAGTCAGTTCTGACTCATAGCGACCCTATATAAGGTTTTCAAGGAGCAGCTGGTGAGTTTGAACCGCTCATTTTTCTGTTAGCAGTCTACTGCATATACTACAGCACCACACCAGGACTCCACACATTCTCTTGTTGCTTTTAGGTGCCATAGAGTCGGTACTGACTCATAGTGACCTTATGCACAGCAGAATGAAACATTGCCCAATCCTGGGCCAACCTCACTCACTACTGTTGCCACGCTTGAGTCCATCGATGCTGCCACTTGGCCAATGCATCTCATTGGAGGTCTTCCTCTTTTTCTCTGACCCTCCACCTTACCAAACACGATACCGTTCTCCAGCAATTGGTCCTTCCTGACAATACTTCTGAAGTATGAGAGACAAAGTTTGGCCATATTGGCCTACAAAGAGCACTCTGGCTGCACTTTTTCCACAACGTATCTATTGGTTCTTTTGGCAGCCCACTTTCAATATTCTCCTCCAACACCGTAACTCAAAAGCATCAATTCTTCTACAGTCTTCCTTATTCACTGTCCAGCTTTTGCATGTATATGAGGTTATTGAAAATACCATGGCTTGGGTTAGGCACACCTTAGTCCTCAAGCTGACATCTTTGCTCTTCAACACTTTAAAAAGGTCTTGTGCAGAAGATGTGCCTAATGCAATACGTCGTGTGATTTCTTGACTGCTGCTTCCATGAGTGTTGATAGTTGATCCAAGAAGAATGAAGTCCTTGACAACTTCAATCTTTCTCCGTTGATAAGAATGTTGTTTATTGGTCCAGTGGTGGGGATTTTTATTTTCTTGACATTGAGATGTAATCCATACCGAAGGCTGTACTATTTGATCTTAATCAGTAAATATTTTAAGTCCTCTTCATTTTCAGCAAGCAAGGTTGTAGCATCTGCATATCGCAGGTTGTTAATGAGTCTTCCTTCAATCCTGATGCCTCGTTTTTCTTCATAGAACCCAGCTTCTCGTATTATTTGCTCAGCATACAGGTTGAATAAGTATGGTGAAAGAATACAACCTTGTCGCACACCTTTCTTTATTTTAAACCATTCAGTGTTCCAATGTTCTGTTTGAACAACTGCCTCTTGGTCCAGGTACAGATTCCTCATGAGCACAATTAAGTGTTCTGAAATACGCATACTTCGTAATGTTATCCATAGCTTGTCATGATTCACACAATCGAAAGCCTTTACGTAGTCAATAAAGCACAGGTAAACATCTTTCTGATATTCTCTGCTTTCAGCTAAGATCCATCGGATATCAGCAATGACATCCCTCGTTCCACGGCCTTTTCTGAATCCGGCTTGAACTTCTGGAAGTTCTCTGTCAATGTATGCTTGCAGCCATTTCTGTATTACCTTTAGCAAAACTTTACTCGCATGGGATATCAAAGAGATTGTCCGATGATGATTTCTGCATTCTCTTAGGAAGGGACTAATCTCTTCCTTCCTGAGGCCCCCATGCCCACAAACACACAAGTTGAACTTCTCTCTGACTTCTCAAGAGCATCCAGAACTGCACACAATACAATCAGAAAAGGCATATACAAGAATTTGTTGCATCAGAAGCAAGAAATCTGGAAGGCTGGAACCAATCAGAGAGGATGTCTCAGCAGGGCCATTCAATGCAGAGTGACTATGAGGGATTGAGAAAGGACCAATCAGAAAGGCCAGAACAGAGCCCACTATCCAATGTGACTTAGCTTTGGCTCTGGGATGGCTCCTCAGAAGGCTGGTACAAACTGAGGACCATTCCCTCCTTCCCCAGCAACCTTCCTTTCTAAACTCCCTAATCCAAGTTCCAGGCTTTTCCTGAGGTTCTTCTGTCTCCAGACTTTGAAAGGAGCGCTGGTGGCACAGAGGCTAAGGTTGTCTGCTAATGCAAAGGTCTGTGGTTAGAACCCATCAGCAGTTCAGTGGGAGAAAGCTGTGATAATCAGTTTCTCTAAAGATGGCTGTTAGGTGTCCTTGACTGTGTTCCGACACATGGTGACGTCCGTATCACAGAACGAAAAGATGTCCAGTTCTGAGTCACCCTGCCATGTCTGAACCCATTGTTGTAGTTCTGGTATCAGCCCATCTTGTTAAGCGTCTCCTTTTTTGATGACCCTCTATTTTACCAAGCCTGATGTCCTGTTTGGAAACCTTATGGGGCAATTCTACTCTGTCCTATTGTCTTGCTCCAGACTGATTCCTTTGGATTATGATGTTGGTGAAGAATATTGAAGGTACCATGGACTGCCAGAAGGAAGAACAAATCTGTCTTGGAAGAAATACAGCCAGAGTGCTCTTTAGAAGCAAGGATGGCAAGACTTTGTCTCATGTACTTTAGAAGTTTTATCAGAAGGGACCAGTTACTGAAAAAGGACATCATGCTTTGATGGCTAGGTCACTTTGAGTCAGAAGCGACCCCACGGTACCGAACAATGACATAACATGTTGTTTAATTCTATCGAGTCGGTTCTGACTCAAAGCCATCCTGTATAGGGTTTCTGAGGATTGGCTGGTGGATTTGAACCACCGACCTTGCAGATCAAAGCAACCTTGAGGTCCAGTGCTTATCCTACAGTACCACACCATAACAAGAGTTGGAATCAACTGGACTATGAATTCAGAATTGACTGGATGATGACAGAGAACCTTGAAAATGAGCAGAGCTTGTATTGGACAATCTAGTAACTGGCAGAGTTGAAGGTGCCAGACCCCCTGAGGCAGGGGGACCAGGCATAGGCTGTTGACGCTGAAGTCAGCTTTCAAGGTGGAGCCTAAGGTTGAGACGAGGGGCCTAGGCTTGTGGGTGTGGCCTAGACTCAGGTGTTGTCTAAAGTGGAGGGGAGGGGTGGAATGGTGGACTGGGGTTGAGAGGTAAAACGTAAGAGTTGAGGTGCTTTGTTTAAGTCAAACAAATAAACAACAACAAATAACTGCTGTGGAGGCGAGTGCTATTCCTAGCGATCCTGTAGGGCAGAGTAGGGCTTCCGACGCTGTCATTCATTACGGAAGCAGGGCCACATCTTTCTCCCAAGGAATGGCTTGGTGAGTTTAAACTGCTGACCTTTTAATTAGCAGTGGAACACTGAACCACTTGTTTCACCAGGGCACCTTTAGATCAAACAAATCCAAACCTGCTGTCACTGAGCTGATTTCCTGCCGACTCATAGTGATTCCATATAGGGTTTTCAAGACTGTAAATTTTTACGGGCGGAGACAGT